AGATTTATTTTTATTTCGTTGAAGCATATTTTATTCAGATTCTTCCATTTCATTTTCAAAGATTTTGAGTTCCTTCTAAATATTATTATTGCTTATATTAAAGGATAAATTTTTATTTCGTTGAAGCAGTTGGCTTATGTGAGCTTCTCAATGTTTTAATGCACCGTTTCTTCCTGTTTGAGCCCCATTCTTTTACCAAGATATATTTTGGAATAGTGATTTGATGGGGAAATGTTGGGCTAAAAAAGAGGATAAATTTTGGATTTGCCTGTAATATTATTTTACTGAAAAATGTGTGGTGAAAATAAGATAAAAATATATTTTAAAAGTAATGGAGATTAAACAAGGATTAGTTATGCCCCTGTTTGCCTTCAATAAATAATAATAAATAATATTACACCTAAACCTAAAAAAAATTTCTTCATTTTTAACCGCACATTGTCTAAAAAAATTACTATTTATCTCATTATAATGCCCTTATTTGGCTCTCATCATTTTTAAAATACGTTTTTCTCTTTTTTATTTTTAACCACATATATTACACGCATATTCAAAAAAAAAAAATTATTTTTTAACCACACATTTTTCAATAAAATAATATTACAACCAAATTTAAAAGTTTTCCTTATCTTTAACCACACATCCCTTATCAAAATACCATTCTAAAATGGGTTAATTTCAAAAACGGTCACTGAAGTTTTAAATTTCTTTCACAAATGGTCACTAAATTTTCAGATTTTTGGGCGAGTTTGCTGCAATTTTTCGGCAACTTTCGACCACCAAAAATTTTTCGACGATTTTGGTGGTCGAAAGTTGCAGAAAAATTGTCGTGCACTCACCCAAAAAATCTGAAAATTCAGTGACCGTTTCTGCAAGTTTGAAACTTCAGTGACCGTTTTGTTATTTTCAGATAATTTCAATGACCGTTCGTGAAATTAACCCATTCTAAAATGCATTTTGGGGGAAAAAAAAAAGAAGCATAAAACAAGCTCAATGTGGAATAATGGGGGCAAACGGGAGCATATATATATAGTCTTTTTTTTGGGGACATATAAGTTTATCTTGATCACAGTCGCGTTGACTTTCTTGTAGGGATGCTATAGGGATTTTTAAACACGTTTATATATTACTAGTCTTTGCCCGTACCATGTACGGGATTGAGTATTTCGTAGGTAGTGTTAGCATCGTAGCATGTAAATGTGTTGAATTATCTTCCATTCAATTATATGTTTTGGGAAATAGGCCAAATCAGAAGAGTAAGAAGTCACAACTCTGACGTTATTTCAATTCACATGTTGAAATAAATTAATGCAAGTTCTTCAAGTACATTTCCCATAACCCTGCCTAGAGCTTTTAATTCTTTAACAGTAAGAAGCTATCAACTTTGTGATCGGGAACTGAACAAATTTGTGAAATTCATATCATGGGATATGGCAATCAATTGACTGTCAAGAAAAATCAAGGTGCGCTCGAAAATGAAGTGTGCAAACGGAAATCAAGTTTTTTCAATTTACATTTGTTTTCACTTATAAATTGATCAAACAATCTCAACAACAACCACCGTGAACTAACAGAAAATTCAAACAAATGCAATTCCCATCCAACTTCATCAAAACCCCATCAAGAATAGGTGTACAAGTTTTCAATTGAATTCCTTGATCCTTTGGATGCACAAGGAAACCTGAAAAAGAAGCATTATCACAAACCTGGTGGAAGTTGCGGGTGAGGATAGCATCTGTTGCCTTCTCAACAATCTCCAAGGCCTTCATTTTATACTGGGCATTGAAGGTATTATCAGAAAATGCATGGTAAGCCGAACATGATGTAGCACCAAATCTGAGAAGTATATGGCAGAAAGGATCCATGGTAAGCTGAAATTGCCACCAATTCCTCAACCTCTGACATGATATCCTCCATAGGCAATAATCAATATCATTTCAATATGGATCCTTATGGAATGAATTATCTGAAAGAGATGTAAGCACGCTATTAATCTTAAGACAAATAGATTTTAAACGAGATTATAGTACAAATGAAGTGAATCATAATGATCACTAATTATGCAACCCATACATGGACGTCTATGTGAGAGGAAAATGCTTATAAAAAGCATATTTTTGTTCAATTGAAATTTCACAATTACATTTCAATCACACAAGCACAAGCCATATTTATTAGTTCAGAAGCTATTTGCAGCCCGTTGAAGGTTTCAATAATGAATGAGCGTATGTATCATCAGTACAATGACATCAATTGAAAAGGTTATTGCTATAATTTATAGTTTGTTTTTAAAAGACTAAAATATGTAAATGTGTGAAGAACGAGAAAATTCATTATGATGATAGCTTGATAAAGGAGAAAAGAAGAAGCTAGAGAATGCAACACACGTTTACTCATACAATTGCTAGTGGAAGGGAAGTTACAAGTGTTGGGAATAAACAGCCTACGCAGATACAATGTACATAGCATTAACATAGTTCTAGTAGCTCATAAACCAATGTACAAGTTCAATATAATCAGAATCTAATTTCCCAGCAGAATGTAATTTCCAATTACAACATAAAGGAAACATGGACTGAACTCAACATACTCCAGAAATTCAGCTTGCAAGTCATTTACAGAGTATATAACATTGTCATTTAACAAATGCTTAGACATATAACTGAAACCTCCACATTACTAGAATGTAAATCAACATTTGTATAAGCATAGCATTAAAGAGATCAATCGAGAGACAGAAACTATGGCAACTGAAACAGAGCATAAAATGGACAGGAACTTCCCTTTTATCCGTCCAGCTTTCCTCCTTCAATTGTTGTTCGTTCCTTCGATTCGGCCGAATTGATTAGGCTCAGGAACAACCCATCCACACCTTGCAATCGCCGTCCAGAGAGAGGTAAGAACCAACCAAGAAACACCCAACACTTGGCTTGGGTCATCGACCGAACGGTCTACCAAAACAGCCAAGAATCTCGCCCTAATCACTGACCTAAGCCTCACAAGAAACCTCCCTAACCTAGCTCTATTTCACGCCTAGGTAATACACCGGAGTCTCTCAACCATGGGATAACAGTGAATATTAAGGGGAGGAGAAGAAGCATCCAGCTTCTTCGAGGAAAAAACCAGAGAAGATACCGTGAGAGTGAGAGAAGACAGGGAGCCAAAGAGTTGTGTATCAACGAAGCCAAACCCACCTGATATAAGGTTCAAAATCAAGAAAATATCTCACCAAGTTTAATCTCAACCATAGATCAAAATCAAGGGGTGCAAATGCTTCAACAAAGGCACCCACTCCGGGTCAAAGCATTGGCCCAACAAGTGAAATGGGAACCA